TACAATTATTTTATAGTAAACTTAAAAATAAAATGCTAATATATATATATTATAATTTAAAAAAACAATTATTATTATTATTATTTTTAATTTGAATTATTTGAATTTTTCATTTTCAAATTTAAAATCAGCAAGCTTTTATTTTTGCGGGTTACCAGCAAATAAGTATATGCGCTTCCGGGTTTAGAGCGTCAGTGAATGAAATGTCACAGTTTTGCATTGTGCTTTGAAAACATTAGCGGGTAGCCTATATGTTTACATTTACATTTAGTCATTTAGTCATTTAGCTAAAGATCATAAATATGTATGCTTTCAGTTTGAATAGAAATCGTATACAGTACAGTTTGTCGATCTAAAATGGTAACTGTGCATTAACAGCTGTCAACCACGCAAATGAGCTGTCAGAACTTATTTATACAGCGCATTTTTTATTTTGGTCGCGCATGCGGACCTGCGGACCACTTATGTGCACCCCTGACTATTAGGCTACTTTGCCCATCATCCATTATAGATCAACTAACAATCTATAACGATGCAAAATGCATTTACTTACACATATTTGAAAATTTAGATATTTTAACACGTTTCGGAATATTTTGAATAAAATGGAAAAAATTAGGGATGCACGATATATCGGCCACCATATCGGTATCGGCCCATATCGGCTCATTTTTTCTGTTATCGGTATCGGCCTGATAAGAAAATTTGGCCGATATCTTAAAGCCGATAAATAATGCATTATTTCCTTCAGAGACACTTCAGATGCGCGCTGTTCGTTTGCAGCCTTTTGTGCAATTGTACATTGTAATATTGTGTTTATTTGATGTATATCTGATTTATCTCATATAGAATGCGTTTGGTTAAGTTAAAAGAGCGCTTCAGTTTACCAGTGATCATCTTTAGCTCAGCACACGCAGCCCAAACAGCAGTGCACAACATTAATAACTATGATTGGGAATGTCATGTATATAACATTCTAATGAGAACATTATTATAATAAAACGTTGGGAATTCTTTGGGTTTAGTTGCCGTGTTTCAGCGCGTTGTTATGGGAAGAGCGCATCCACAACAGGATCACACATTCTGACTATAGCACGCAAGAACTGCATCATTTTGTACATATATAAGTTGTAATATTATGTTTATGTTGTATTAATATTAATCTCAGGATGCATTTCCTTGAGTTAAATAAGCTGCCAGCAAAACGCTTCAGTTTACCATGTTCATTCAGCTCTTCAGCTTCAGCACGCGCAGCTCAACGGCTGCTATTTAAAACAGTGGTATTAATTTGTTACTTTTTCAAAATCATCGATACATTATTAATAACAACAACCACTTGTATTGTTCTCTTATTATTTTCATCAACAATATGGTTTAGTAATTAAAATAATTTAATTATTGTCCGTGCAGAGGCTATTCCGTTTTATTGATCTATGGCGCATTCATTTTGATTCTTTACACGTGTAATGATGTCCAGTGACTTGTTTGCATTATTTATGCATAATTTTATTTATTTGTAAGACTTTTTTATGACTAAATTTGGTAATGGGAGAGTAAAAATATTTTTAAAACGTACACCATTCAAACTAGGCTGCTTATGTTGAAGTGTTTGGGATGTGGCTTTTAATGATGAGACCTTTTTTGTAATCAGGCTCTCAAAAAGTATATAACAGTTTGGATATAGATTTATCGGCCAACATATCGGTTATCGGCTTTCAAAAATAAAGAATAATCGGTTATCGGTATCGGCCAAAATTTTCATATCGGTGCATCCCTAGAAAAAATAAATAAAACATAAGCCTATATCAGTAATAGTTACATATTTATGGCTCCTGTGTGTCACATGACAAGCATGACGCCCATGGTGTCATGTTAAATCAGCGTGTTTGTGTGCGTGTTTCACCCTCTGGACTGGACTCCGGACACGGAGCGATGCTCTTGGGTGACGGAGGACGCAGGAACGGATGATCCAGGAGCTGGTGAGCGTGCCAGCGATCCGCGTCATTCAGACACACACACCTGCACACACACACACACACACACACACACACACACACACACACAGATTAAATACATATAACCTTCTAATGCACAAAACTAGTCTGGGGTTTGTGAGCTGATGAAGAGCTAATAATTAGTTAAATCATAAAGGAAAGTCCAATTAAAATCAAAAGAATACATGTCATAGAACCATTCATCAACATCAGAGAAGCGTGAACATGTGAATGTGTTGATAAATTATTGGGTTTCCCAAACTGAGGTTCATGAGGGAACTGGACGCTATTAATTCAATTCAGTTCAAAATATCATTTTAAAATAAAAAAATAAAACACTAAAATTATTTTAAAAAACAATGTAATATTAAACTATAAAACAGATAAAACAATCAATTTCTAAAAATGTCAAATTACGCTGAATAAATTATTTGAAAATGAAAGAATAAACGCACTACAATTCTTAAAAAAACATTAGAATAAAAAAAAATAAGTAAATTATCTAAAAAAAAGAAAATAATCGAAATTAAACCATTTCTAAAAATGATTAAATTAAAACTTTGAATTACCTAAAGTAGAGCGGTAACGCAACATTTGTTTTTATATTTCTGCAATCTACTTTAGTTTGCGTGATTATTGCGAGATACTTTCATATTAATGTTTACACCAGGCTTATTTGTCAGTGCTTTATGTTGTCATAATTATTACATGCTCACACAAGGTTGGAAGTTCAACAAATCAGTCAATATAATACTGTGATAGTAGCTGTTAAATGTCATTCATATCAATTCATGCATCACCTAATTTCATCGTAACATATAGGCCTGGCCTACAGAAAAGAACATTTATGTTTAATCGATCTAATATGTGACCCTGGACCACAAAACCAGTCATAACGGTCAATTCTTCAAAATGAGATTTATACATGATCTGAAAGCTGAATAAATAAGCTTTCCATTGATGTGCTAAATTCAAATCTGCGTTCGCTGGCTGGGGCGGAGCCAGACGCGTTTGTACAGCGCTGCACATTAAAAACCAATCGCACACGATTCTGTTGAGCTTATGAATGTAACAGCCAATCAGAGGC